CGGGAGGGGAGGGCATAGGAAGAAGTGAGTGGTTTCTCCCTTTCCCCCTCCCCTTTTGCCCATTCCGATACCGCAACGGAACGACTGACCCCCCCCCCCCCCCCCCCCCCCCCCCTCCTTTCCTCACCTCGGGGCCTGGACTTCAAAATCGTTTTTCCACCCGAAACGGCCCCTCCCAATAAAAAAAAGAGGAACAAGCAACGCTAGTCAGAATCAGAGGGCGAAAAGGAGCAGAGCCTAGAGGCGGTTGGCGGAGGGGAAGAACAAACACCAGAACGAAAGAAAAGGTTTTGAAAATCCCAAGGGGGAAGGAGCTTGGTGATGGAAGGGAGACACGCCTCGGGGGTGCACCGTCTTCCCGAGGCTGTTCTCCGCACACACCCATGTTGAAACCCTTCCGAGACTATCCCACCAGAGTTGGTGGGTTCCCTTCCTCATGTGAGGTTGAGGGATGCAAAAAGAAAAAAAAAAAAGAAAAAAATTGATTCTCCACAGCGATGACATCCATTTCCACTTCATCTACCGTTGGGGGAACTTTTTCTTTTATCCAACCCTCACTTCTCCTCCTGCTTCTCGATCTCCAACCCGATCAACTGCTCAGTCAACCGTTCAAGTCGACTCCTTTTTTCGTTGTGCCGCGAGGAAGAGAAGGGAAAAACAAGGGGGAAGAGGAATAAGATCGTTTTGTCAGTAGGGGAGGAAGGAGGAAGAGAGATCTCGTTGGGGAGGGGGGGGAAGCGGAAGGGGACTCACTTGAGATCCAAGAGCTCCTTGACCTTCTCGTCCGCCGCACTTTTCTCCGCCTCGTCATCCTGACCCTTCTTCGCCTTCAACGCCTCCTTGGCCTTCCTCACCTCGTCCCCCTTGTCCTTGACCTCCTTTTCCAGCTCGATGAGCTCGGGCGTCTTGTTCTTGACGACGACGGCCGCCGAGCGGGACCCGCCAGCCTGCGATTCGGTAGCCGCAGCCTCCGTCAACTTCTTCTTCTTCTCGGCCTTGGCCAGTTTTTGAGCCTGTTTCTTGCTCATCCCTTGCTGCTTGTCATCCCCACCTTGTTTGCTCGAGTCGACGCTTCCTCCGAACTGGACCCTCCAGATCTCCTCCTGCTTTTCGTCGATCCTCTTGAAGAGGTGGGAGGCCTTGCCGATCACGTGTCCCGGTAGGAGGTCGAGCGAGAACTTGCCTCCCTCCGGCACCGTCCTGGGCGGTGCGTCGAGTTGGACGAGGATCGAGTCGCTGGTCTCCGGCATGAAGGGGTGGATTAGCGCCGAGAGGACCCAGATCAGGTTGATGGCCAGCAGCATGACCGCGTCACACTCGGCCCTCCTGTCGCTGAACAGGTTGTTGTCGAGGTGAGACTCGGTGAGGAAGAGGTTCCCCCTTGCGCTCAGCGCCATCATGGCCTGAAGTCCGGGTCTCAGCTTGACCGCCTCCATCGCCTCAATGTACTGTCCCAGGATCGAGTTGACGTCCTTCACAAACTTTGCGTTCCTCCTACTGCTGCTGCCGATGACACTTGAACCTTCCTCGGCCTCGTTGACCTTCTTCTCCTCCTCCCGCTCCTCCTCCTCCTCCTCCTCCTCCTCCTCAAGGGGGCCCTCGTGGCAGAGCCTCAAGCCTTGCCCCTCGGGCACCTCGGGCAGCTTGCGGTCGTACTTCTTCATGAACGTCAGCACCCTGTTGCAAAAGTTGCCGAGGTTGGCCAGCAGCTCCGAGTTGTTCCTCGTGATAAAGTCCCTCCAGGCGAACTGCGAGTCGGCCGCCTCCGGTCGGTTGGCCAGGAGGTAGTACCTCCAGACGCTCGGGGGGACGCCGATCTGGCCCGCCTTGTCTCCGAACACGCCCACGTTGCGCGACTTGGAGAACTTGCCCCCCTCGTACTGGAGGTACTCGGTGGTGCTGATGTGGTGAAGCATGGTCCAGGGGTCGCCGCTGCCGATCAGGCAGGAGGGGAAGATGACCGTGTGGAAGCGGACGTTGTCCTTGCCCATGAACTGGTAGAGCTTGACGTTCTCCGGGTTCTTCCACCACTGCTCCCAGTCGTCCGTGTAGTTGGCCGTGATGCTAGGGTAGCCGATGGGCGCGTCGAACCAGACGTAGAGCACCTTGTCCTCCATGCCCTCGACGGGGACGGGCACACCCCACTTGAGGTCCCTGGTCAACGAGAAGGGTCGGAGGCCCTCCTTGAACCAAGACTCGGTGATCAGCCTGCCGTTGGCCGACCACGCTCCTTCCACGGCCGCCTTCCTGGCCCACTTTTCGCAGTCCGGCTGAAGGTTGTCGATCCTGAGGAACATGTGCTTCGAGTCCTTCTGGATGGGCGAGCTGGAGCAGAGTTTGCACCTGGGCTTGATGAGCTCTACCGCGTCCAGAAGTTGACCGCACTTGTCGCACTGGTCACCTCGTGCGTCCTGGGGGGGGGGGGGGTTGGGAAAGCGTGAGGGAACGCGGACAGGAAGGGAAGGGGCGAGGGAGGGAGAACGGCTTGTGTGAATGTGCGTGCGAGAAACGGAAGGAGGAAGAAGAAGAGGAGAGAAGGCGCATGCTCACGTCATAGCTGCACTTGGGGCAGACGCCCTCGACGTATCGGTCGGCGAGGAAGCGGGAGCAGGACTGGCAGTAGAGCTGGGTCATGGACCTCTGCTCGAGGTAGCCGTTGCGGTTGAGCTTTAGGAAGACGTCCTGGGCGATCTGGGTCTGCTTCGGGGTGGTGGTCCTGCCAAAGTGGTCGAATCCGATCTGGAACCACTCGTAGACCTGGGCGTGGAGGGAGTGGTACTTGTCGCAGAGCTGTTGGGGAGAGACGCCGTCCTCGAGGGCCTTGGTCTCGGTGGCGGTGCCGTACTCGTCGGTGCCACAGATGTAGAGAGTGTTGCGGTTCCTGGTCCTCGAGTACCTGGCGTAGACGTCGGCGGAGAGGGTGGAACCGATGATGTTGCCGAGGTGGGGAACGTTGTTGACGTAGGGTAGAGCCGAGGTGACGAGGACGTTGGGCTCGTCAGGCTTGGGTAGGATCTTTTGGCCTGGCTCGAGGTTGGCGGAGGTGAGCTTCATGAGGACCGAGGGGTCCTTGTTGTGGGACCTCGTCTCGGTGACGGGGAGTGCGATGGGGAAAGGAGATGCCATGGTGGGAGGTGGTGCTTGTTCGTCGGGTGGTGGTATCTCGTCTGGTCGTCCTTCCTTTTTTTTTTTTTTTTCCTTCTCCTTCTTCTACTGGGTCGTTTTGGTGTCTCGAAGAGATGTGTTCCGCCTGTGATAGAGAAGGGGGATGGCCCCCTTTGGAATTTCGTTTTCTACCCTTTTCGCTCCTTTCTTCCTTCTTCTTCTTCTTGAATCCTTTTTCTTCTTCGCTAGGAAGGGACGACGGGCAAGGCGATGGAGCGAGGAGGGGGGAGGTTGGTGGTGGTGCTGGTCGTCTTCGTCAGGGATGTATGCGGGTCGAGAGGGAGTGAATGCGAATCGAGGTGGGTGTGTGTGTGTGCACCGTACGTCTATGGCTTGGTAGGGCTGAATGGAGTAGGGATGAGAGGGAGAGAAGGAAAGAGGTTCCCGAGGTGATCATCCTCTTCCACACTCATCACCACCACAAGCCAATCAACGAGAGGTCCATTTCATCCATTTCTAATCTTTCTTTCTTTCTTCCTTTCTTTCTTTCTCTCCCTCTTTTCTGTCTCTATCTCTTCCTCCCCTCTTAGCCTCCATTCTGAATTCAATTCCCCTCCCGCTTTGAAAAGGGTTTGATCGGGTCCAGCCTGATACGCTTTCCCCCCTTTCTCCTCCTCTTTCCTTTTTTGAATCCACCCTCTCCCGCTTTGGCCTTTTCTATTCGTCCGATGACTCGCGGACCGTCGCACGACAAGCCCCCGCCCGCGCGCAGGCTTCACTTCACGTCCTCCTCTGACTCACCTCAGACCGAGGTGGACAAACGAGACACGAGGGAATGGGAATGGGGAGGAGGATGCACATCATTCCAAAGAAATCGAACAAAAAAATACATGAAAAGAAAAGGAATCTCCCAACGAGGGGCTCGAACCCTCGACATTCAGATGTTCCCAAGGTCAACCTTGGAGGCTCTTGTGATAAGAGTCTGACGCTCTACCGACTGAGCTAGCCGGGATGGAGTTGTCATGATGTAACTATTGTGTGGAGATATCATCCTCAACCTCTTTCAAACCTGCATTCAGCCCTTGTACGCACAACCCAAGCAAAAAAAATCAAAAAAATCATTACGGCCATCCCAAGTTCAACCCACTCTCGAAGCGTAGAAACACCCAGTCAGTCCTTCCAGTACTGGAATGCACAACATGATATTCACATGTCCAGAACGTCTCCGGGACTCAAAGTACACGATCCCCAATGGACCTTCAACGAGGAAACGTATCCAGAGCCAAGGGTTTCGTCGCAGCCCACGACCATCACGGGCTCCACTTCCCTCCTTCTAAAGAAGAACCCCGCCCCTTCGCCCCTCAACTCGAGAAGGGCGCGGTGGAAAGGTTGGACCGCCTAGGCGTCCTTGGCCACCGACTTGTCCCAAGCGACTCCCCTGAACGAAGGGAACCTGGGGTACCCTTCTTCGGAGAGTTGTTGGAATCGATAGTTGATCACCATCCCTTTCGGAGGTGGGTTGGACCTCATCGAGTCGGAAAGTCCGGAACCTACCCTGAACAAGGTTCCGTTTTCCATCCTGCAGATCAGTGCACCTGTCCGGTTCGAGTTTCGACCCTGGAGGGGGATGCAGGAGGAGAGAGGGTAGGTGGGATCATCAGTACTTCTGCTCTCGCGCATCTTCAAGTTGGGGAGGGAAGGAGTAGGGCGTAAGAGAGGGGAGGGGGAAAGCAAAACCCTCTCACCTCTCCGGGAGCATAACCTACGACGACGGCCTCGGCGTCGTGGAACGTCTTCAACTTGTACAGAGTGTTCCCTCTTCGGAACTCGTATCGACTCCCACTCTCCCTCAACATGAGACTTTGAGCCGGTTCGTAGACGTCACCAGAAGAGGGAAAAAAAAGGAGGGAAGAGAATTCGTGGTTCTTGTTCAGAAGCGTGAGACATTTTTTTTTCTTTGTTTCCTCCTTTGATTCAGGATCGGGAGCGAGGGAAGGGAAAAGGAAGAGAGGAAGAACACCCACCCTTCGCCACCTTTAGCCTCGACCTCGTTGAGGAGCTCGATCAGGTGTTGCCTTCCACGACACTTTACGTGATGGACCAGTTTGATACAAGGTCCCTCCAGTCGATCGATCTCGACTCGTTCGGTGTCGCCGAACCTCCTCCTCAGCTCTTCCCACCTCTGTTCGACCGGTCTCATGGCCATGCTTGGCGCGTCAAAGATCTGGTGTGAGGAGGGAATACGTCAATGCGTCGAGCAAGAGAATGGAGGGAGAAGGAGGAAGATGGTGAGGAAACGAATTCATACTACGGGAGGAAGAAAGAGAGAAAAGGAGGGAGGAAGGCGGAGGGTTCACTTTGCTTTTTTTAGCGTGAAAACAAAGACACTCACCATGAACTTGATCTGGTGCCACTCGGTTGACCTCTTGACGTCGGAACGCCAGGTGGGTAGGGAGAGGGATGGATCCGAGGCGGATAGGGTGATGGGTGGTGGTTGCGGTGCAGTCCGATCCAATAACGCGGCGAAAGTGTTGGTGGGGAGTGACGCCAGAGGTTTTCCAGGTCCGGATCGAGTGACCAAGGAGGAGGAGGAAGAGGAAGAGGAGGAAAGGGTTCGAGTCGAGTGCTCAGTACTGTTCCAGTTCTCATCGTTCCAGTTTCGTATCCCTTCCCTCCTTCCTTTCGCTGGATGTCTGGAGCCGTCACCTCGAGAGCATCTTGGACATCGCGCTCTCTTCTCAGTTTTCTTTTCCCCTCTCCCAGACTTGGCCCCGCGGGAAGCGTGGTGGATGGAAGGGGTGGCAGGCGTGGAGGAGGAGGAGGGGGCGAGGGTGATAGTTGACCATGTCGAAAAGGATCCAGATGAGGATCGGGTCAGAGTCAGGACCCTAAGGTTCTCCCTCTTGAAGGATTTCCAAGACGAGGGCCGCCTCTTCCCCCTTCCCCTCCTTGACCCCTCTCTCCCACCACCACCACCTCCTCCCTCTCCAACTATTCCATCCTCGCCCGACACCCTTCCCCTTCCAACCTCACCATCAGCGCCACCGTCTAGATCCAAATTCTCCAAGAGCCTATGGAAGCCGTTCGATCCTTCCCGCCGCTTCGATTCTATCTCCCTTCGGGCTTGAGCCTCCTTGTACAACCTCCTACGGCTCGCCCTGACAGTGATCCTCCCGCCAAGCTGCTCGTTCAACCATTCCCTCTCCCTCTCGCTCCTCTCCAGGTGGTGTTGAAACGTCTCGAGTCTTCCCATTCTCACACTGGTGCGACAAATCTGAGACGTCTGGTCAAACGTCCCTCGGGCCATCCAGAGCTCTCCATCCAGTGTGATGTCCTTGGGGAGGCCTGGTCGTTGAAAGGGGGTGGGAAAGAAGGGAAAGAAGGTATGAGAGTCAGGAGAGAAGGTCAAGCTTTGTCTTTGCTTTCCTTGACACTCTCTCTCTCGCACAAAAAAAAAAAAAAAAAAAACTGAGGAAAAAGGAGGGGAAAGAAAGTGCGGAGATGAAGACCCTCCACTCACGATCTTTCCACCACGATGGAGCGTTCCATTCAAGCTGTTGGCGTGACCAGAGCCTTTCTCCATCCCAAAAGGCTCGGACTCCGTCGAGCTAGGCGAGGGGGGGGGGGGGGGGGGAGGGGCAAGAGTGGCGCGGTGAAAAACGGAGCCAAAGGGAGAAAGGCGTCAGGGAATCCTCAGGACACTGAGTGAGGGGTTTTCTATTCCTTTCTTTGGCTTCCCAGCTTCACTCACCTTTTCGCTGACCCACCACCCTTCAGGGTCCATGGCCTTCTTCTTCTTCTTCTCGTTGGGATCGTCTTCCAAGATCCAAGGTTTAGCAAGAAGAAGTTTCACCTGCCCCCACCGACGAGTTAGGTCCCGAGGATGGAGCATAGCGACAAGAGGAAGGGGAAGGGGAGGTTGGGGGAGATTAGAGCGGAGGTGGACTTGCCCAGAGTAAGTTGCGATGAAGAAACGAGGAGAGATGGAACGGTAGGAAGGGGAGGTAGGAAACTCACGGGATCTTCTTGATCCTCTTCCCTCTTCTTGCGCTTGCTGGGACTGCTGGTGGGGATGCTTCTCTGCTTGGCCCGGCTGTTGGATGGGGAGGAGTTTGTTCCAGGAAGGTGATTTCGAGATTTGAGGGGTAGGGCGACTTCCTCCTCGGTCTCGCTGCCGCTGGACCCATCTACCTCCTCTCGATCTCCGAGGATGGAGTTCGGGAGGCAGTTGTTAGGTTTGGACCTCTTGTTCGAGTTGGATTCCAACACCATCCCCTCGTTGTATGCTTCTTCCCTTCCTCCTCCAACCTTGACTTTGTTCTTGCTTTCTTCGCCCCTTGGATTCCCTCCCTCCTCCAACTCCTCATTTCGCTTCAAACCTTCTCGATCTTTGAAAGACCCAGACGATTGGGCCGAGGAATCCCTTTGGGAGAGGAAAGCCTTCGCGTGAGACTGTCTGGCTTGGGCGCTTGATACCCTTTTCCAAAGACCACCACCACCTCCACCACCCTCCTCCTCCTCCTCCTCCTCCCCAGTCGAAAAGTACCTGACCAATCCCACCCTCCTCTTCTCATAAACCTCTCCCAAATGGGAGACGAGGTGAGAGCAAGACTTTTCAAACTTGCGTTTCTCCCTGTTGAACCTGAAGGATGGGCAAGAGCAAACGTAATACCCCTTCCTGAACCTCTTCAAGGTGAACTCCTGATCAACGACTCCTCCTCCTATCGCTTTGACCTTGACGGGCTGATCCAAGGCGATCAGGTTGAGAGGTTGGACGTCGCAAGAGGGTAGGACGCTCCTTTGACCCCATTGATCCGAAATGGTGATAGAGGGGATCTTCAGCGTGGCGGTTTCGATGTCGACAATATCTTGGATTCGAATTTGGCAGGTCTCCTCCATCTTTCATTCTTTCTCTTTGATCTTGACCCCTGCTCCCCTCTCCTTCTTAGTTTCGATCCAGGAAGGGGGGGAGTGGTGGGGAGGGATGAGGGAATTCTCTCTTTCTCCCCCTTCCTCGTCCTTGAGAAAAAGTTCAGAGATGGTACGATGGAGAGGGTAGGTCAAAGTTCGGCATGATCTCCAGTCGAAAAAGGGAGGGAAGAAAGGTAGTGGCGATGGTTCGAAGAAAGAGGGAAGAGGGGGGAAGGGAAGGAAGGTGGATACGGCAAGTCAAGTTCTGTGTGTGTGTTACTTTCCTCTCCTTTTCCCTCCCCTCCAGCCAAGTTTCCATTTCCACGTCCGATTCGCGCTTATGAGAAAAAGGGAGAAGGGAAAGAGTCACGCGCCTCGCGTAAATGAGAGAGGAGCCAACATCGGGCAGAGCACGATCTGCGGGATCGGACGAACGGGTTTCCGTGTTGTTGTTGGATTGGGTTGGATTAGCAATCAGAGGAGGCAGGCTCAGGAGGGGGGCAAGGGGGGATAAAAGCCGGATAGCTAAGGAGGAGCCGAGAGGGAAACGGTGAATCTTGGATAGATCGACAACTCGTGCGGGGAGCTTGATTTACAGCCAGGGAAAAGTTTGCAGAGTCTGTCTGGGACTAGAGTCATGATGGGATTGGGATTGTAGGAGGGCGGGAAGGAAGAAAGGGGTGGAAAGAGGAAAAAGTAGGGGACGGGTCCCATAGCTAAGATCGTCTTCCAATCAAGGCTCGATTTGGAAGCTGAGTTTGAGACCCATCGCAGCCAGTTCGGCGACCAGGTACCTCAAAACGTACGGTACCGCCTGCATGAAAGAAACGGGGCGAGGCCGAGGCAAGAAGAGGAGGAGGGGTGAAGTGGTGGGAAAAGGAAGCAAAAGGTCAGAGGAAAGTGTAACATAAGAAAGAAGAAAGGTTTCTGACTAGGTGGAGGGGTGAAAGACTTACGATCACATCGAGATCGCCCGTGGTTCTGGCTATGACGTTCTCCCTTGGGACGTTGAAGCTCTGCTCGGGCCCGCCGATGGGCTTCCTCCTACCGACCAGCGGTTCCTCGCCGTTCTCCCTCCGGATCTCGTCCTCCACCCTGCAG